CTGTGAGCCTGAAGAAGCATTGTTTTTGGTGCTACGGGTAATCCTAGGCATTTTTGAACTTTTGATTTACCAAAATCAAATTATTGACGTAAAGTGACTGCAAAGGAAAGCGAAAATAGTCAGGAACCGGGTAGATTCAACTGAAGGACAGCAAATAATATGCAACTAATAGACTTAGCGAAGAGTAGAAATGACGGAAAGCATCAGGTATCGAAAAAAATAACCAAGAGAAAAAAAATTAGGTAGTGTGACAGAGCAGCAAAAATAGCCGCCACACGCGTGAAGGCTGAGGCGAGACTTTGATATGCAGGTTATGAAGGAAAATTCTACGAAAACTTTGACTTTGAGCTGTCCTGGATAACGATACAGATGAAAGATGCAGCTGAAATTCAATCAGAACAGGCAGTAACGAAAGCTCAAGATTTATGCGATGAGTTCGCCTTCTATGGTATGAATGAAGCTCTTGCACAATTTAACACGCAATTTATTTTTCGTTTAAATGACTGTCCCGTAGAGTGAACGTTCGCCTGCCTGGGACACTCCAAGTTTGAAATTAGGCTATCAAATTCCATCAAGGCAGTCAAAATGCATTTTCTCCATCACAATGTAGTTAGTGTAGACTGCCTCTCGCTAAACTCGACAAAGCATACATGACAACTACTGCGGTGAAAGAGTGATAATAAGGAGGTTATTTTAGATGGAGCTAGCAGTTTGATATGCAAGTAGAGGTTGATGTGACTCATTTGATGATTCACGTAGCATCGATCTGGCCGGCCTACATCGCATACAAGCTTCTACAAATGCAGAGGTATTCATTCCTGCTGAAATCTTGCGCCTTTGGGCATTTGGCGAGCATTGTGCGCATAAGTACAAGTATTCGCAGCACTTGCCTTAAGCAAAAGTGATATGTCTATGCACAAAGCTATGCTATTAATATGTCAACTTGGCACTTTTCAATCGCGCTTGAAGGAGTCCCAACGCATTTACCGAGTTTTCAGAAAACAGCCCAACAATACTAAGCATGCGAAACGATTGCGCGAAATGTTCAAGATATTTCAACGCACGAAGGTCCATAATTCCGCAAGTCTCTATAAAAAACGCGCGATCGCTAATTTCAGCAAGAAAATTCATCCGCACTGGAACAGAAGCGTAACGCTACGATGGGAGCGCAGGGAGCGTCTCCAAGGTTGCGAAAATCATCACCGAACGTTTCGACATCTATATCCGCATCACATTCACGACGCAGGAAAAAATCCGGTATTTTTGATTACGCACGCTCATATAGAGAAGTATATTATACGTTTCCTAGGGAGCCATACAAGCGACAGTGCAACATCCGTGAGCTTGCGTCATTCATACCGTTTTGTTCAATTGATGAAAGATTTGTAGATCGATACGTCTGCTGCAGAAAAGTCCGCTTCTGATAAAAGACGAAACATACGAATAAAGTACGGTAAGCGCATTAAAGACATTGGAGAGTTTTTGGGGGTGGTAAAGTGTCAATTTCTTCTTCTTGAGACGTAAAAACTGTATCTTTCAATATGTAACACAAGCACTTTTGCGCATTTGATTGTTTATCATTGCAGGAATACGAGAAGAGGATCAAGATGTACGTTATACCATGGCGATCTCCTTTATAGGTCTAAGTAATTTTAGAAAAAACCACAAGCCGAAGAGCAGGAGCAATTTGAGAATGTTTGCGCAGTAGTTCGCCCCGCGGCAACAAAAATGAGAAAGGCAAAGCTGAGGTAAGGACCAACAGCTGACAATCCTCATAGAATTCGTAGGGATTCCTGCATGATTCAAAAGCTTGCGCAACACCAAAATTTCTTTTGCTATGATTGAATTGTCCTTAGGTCCTTCTTTTCCATGATAATGACGCTAAGTGGAATGGCAGTACTAACAGAATTGGTGTTGAATCGTTAGATCTACTCAAAACATTTTAGATGGAAGAAAGAAGGAGAAACGCCGCCATCAGCATCAGCCTCTGAGGCGGAAAAATCCTGCGCGGAAGGGTAAGTATATAAATGCGTTGGGGGAAAAGCGTTTGCGACGATTATATAGTCATTCGCATGAAATGTATTTGTAGCAGTGCAGAATTGCTAGAAGATATGGGAGAGGCTCAATCACAGGAAAAAAATCGTGTGAATGAAATTATGCGCAGGGTGAAAATCAATGTTGATAGTTGATTTTGAGCATTGTCTAGTTTTTCAGGCTGGTATTTTGACGAAGGAGGACGTGGAAAGAGTGCGAGTGAGTTGAGGTTGTCTGTATTGACATTTACACAGAGGCTGTACAGAAATTTTCTGCATTCAAGAACATCCCGTTGTAGGCAGCGGAAGCATCAATGACAGAAGTGCAAATACTCATAATTCGAATACAAGAGCTTGAATTAGCAAATCGCAAAGCGAAGTTACAACTAAAGCGACTGAAAAAACAGTTAAGAGAAAAGGAGAAGGTAAAGGATTGCCGATGTTGCATGGCAGCAGAGTAAGGTGTCGGGGGCAAGGTCCAGGGGAATTCGACGCCGCGATTCTTCCAACACGACAGTCACTTACGAATCCATTGCATGCCGATCATTTTGCATCTCGGATGTGATAGTTCTCTGACATGACCAATCGCGACTAACTATTACAGCGGAAATGCAAGATGATCGGATTGCAACGGACTCGTAATGGTTTGCGTTGTTGGAATAGTGACGAGAAATCGCGTGAACTCTGCCAGAGCCTAGAAATTAGCAAAGACCTTCAGAAAGTCGAAGAGCTAAGCTCCTTGGTTGCTTTCTTGCAAAGACAAAGCGCGGAACGAGAGGAGAAAGAAGAGAAACTGGTAAAAGGTCTACCATATCTGTACTAGCATCTAAGATGAAGCTGGTCAAGAGTCACGCTGATGAAACGGTCGCAACTCGTGGACTCGAAATCATGAAACGGAATCAACTACTCGAACAAACAGTTCACAACGTTGAAAAGACTATGCTATGCAATTTCTTTGAAGCTACTGAACCCAAGCCAAATCAAGCGGTATGCATTTTTATGAAAAGATTGTTTCTATCATTTGGTTACAAAAAGCTTTTCAGATAGTATCCATCATAGACAAAGCGCTTACATACGCTATTGATGTCTTACTCATGCGACCAGATTTATTTGATGATTTTGTGGACAACGAATTACGCCTATTTCTTCTTGACAATCAAAGGGCAAGCACATTTCTGTTTTCGAATATAATGAGTACCACTCTTATAGGCCAAGCGCGTTCTTCTCGATGTCATGCTGTCACATCCAGAATATGTTCCCCGAGCATGGGGCGGCGACTTCTTAATAATGCGCCAAAGGGAAGAACGTTTCAGAGCGGAACAAGAAAAAGAAGAAAGGAAAGTGAAGCCACCTACCATTGCCGACGACAGAACCGCCGCACCAGAAGAAGAGAAAGCAGTCCCGTCGCAAAAGTTGGAAATGAGAAAAGAAACAAAAGTCTTGAGAGGTGTTCAAGAAAGCCCACTCGACAAAGAAAAGGAAACAGCAATGAAGAAGTCGAATGCCTACGAAAAATTGAAGGGTAGAATTAGAGTAAACTATATCACTTCTAGGTGAAACTTTGCAGGACTCGATAATAGACGACATCCGTCAACACCATCGCCGTCATCGCCGTCGGCGGTGCAAAAAAAAGAAGCAGCACCGCCTCTGAGAGCTCCTGCTCGAAAGGTCAGTCAAAGCTTAGCTACCATTACGTGAACGGTTATAGGCGATCATATTTTAGAAGCAAGCAGCGGATAAAGGAAATGTCGTTGTGGTAGAAAAGCGAGAAAAATGATTCGGTTTAATCCAGTTCAGATTTGAAAGCAATTTTATCGAAGAATAACGTATTTTCAATCACAAACATGCAGAATTGTTCAACTCACGTTGCCGTGCATCGTACATAATGATTATAAAGTTTTGAATTCGATACATGCACGCACAAATTTGTACGATGTATGAACGCAGGCCAGCGGTATGAATATATGCACAGCTAATGAGGGTATAAACTAAGGTTTAATTTTTTAGTGCAGTTTTTGGTAGAGATAAAATAAGATATGCTCTGATACCTTTGATTTGTTCTGCCTGTTTTACCTACACGCCCAAATGATAAAATTATGCTCTGTTTACAGATTCGTTTGATACCCAGAATCTTCAGAAACGTTGAAATAGTTGCTGCTTAGTGCTCTTTATTCAGAGAGCTCTTTGTTTTGGTCAAAGCTCCTTGGTGATGGTGAACCTTCAAACCATAAGATCGGACTGTAGTAACTTAATTTCCAATCTGTGGACTACCATATTCAACCAAAATTGTCGGTGTAGACCTTCATCATAGAAGGCAAAAGTACAAATTAAACACAAATAATCTCTTTATGGAATATGTATACACTTCAACAAATATTACATCTGTACAATACATAAATACATAATATGCCAAAACAAAGGTAATGACTTAGTGCATGAACAGATATAAATCATACACGTATCCCATCACAAGGCGCATGGAGCAAAGCGCAAGATCATAGATGCCCATTCTAGATCGAGCGTATGTTTTGTTGCTGGTGGATCCATGTAGTGAAGGTCCAACAGTCTTCTACTTATCCTCGCATCTCCAGAATGAACTGCAAATAAGATCACTAGCGAGCGAACGAACCCCTCTAGCAAACTACCTGTCTCAGATCGTCTATTGTAGATGTCAACTCCTTGATGGATTGATTTTGCTGTCGAAGCTGTTCACGTATCGCCACGATTTCAGGTTGGTCCGTCTCATTGCTGCCGTCTTGGAGGGATATAGCTTGCATTCTCGGGAACCAATCCAAATTACGGTCCTAAAATGGAGTGTCAGTAAAGAGGCAGAACTCACATAATTTACCTTGATGCATTGCGCTACATAGCTCTCAGGTCCCGTAAACTCAGTCTCGTCCTTTATTTGCAGCCAAACAATAAAATAGAGGTAATGCCAAAGATTGTGTTCTTCTGCCTGATGGTCTTCAAATGTTGTTGATCGATTGTCAAACCTTCAAACAACGCAGTTGCCAACTATGTTCCAATAATCATATCAACCATTGATAACCCACTTTCCGCGTTCTAATCCACAGATGAAGCAGGTGTTCTTCAGTATGTCTTCCTTGTCATTCTTTTCGGTCCTCAGATCGCCAAAAGTGTCTATGATCACACCAAAAATGAGATTCAACACGATAACGATCAGTACAACGAAAAAGGACAGGTCGTAAATAATCCGATAGTAGAACAAAGCTTCCTGAAATACGGTTCACGCTCAGCTACGCTAACAGAGTCCAAGCATAAAAAACATGAAGGAGGTACAGTAAGTTCTGCTTTACTTGGATCTGCAACAAGAGACAACAAACCAAATTAAAATGGATTACTATATGACTGAATCAACTTTCTGCAAATTTTCACTCCGCAAACTAGAGTAAAATGAAACGAGACAGCAGCTGCCGAGTACCAGCCCC